GGCATGCAAGCTCGAACATTGTTGTGGGAGGGGGGGCGGCCGAACTCGCAAGGGGGGATGATGAATTCAAAGACTGTGCCACTACGAAGCCGCCACGATGCAAGGACGACATTCAAACGGGGAGGAACATAGAAGGAAGAAAACTTCCCTCAGGCAAAAAAACAAAATTCTGGCCCTACCGGATGCCCCTTCAGGGCCAAAAAAAATCTGCTCGTATTTTTGGCTGGCAGCCCTGGGCGAGACGAAACGCCCTGGACAGCCAAAAAAAAATTGGCCGTTGGCCAAAGGGTCTGGAATCCGGACCGGGATCCGGACACGTTCACCGGCCACCGGCCACCGGACGGTCCGGATCGCTGCCATGCATAAACCACGCACACACGCTCCTCCCCATTACGGCTGGGAGGACCGAGAGGGCGGCATTGATTACTTCCCTCGGGAAGGATATACCACCCCTCACCCCTGCATAAGTTAGCCTGTACTGTGTCTATTAACATTCTCTATAATCCCGGTTGTACTCCTCTCAGCGTTAAGACTGTCGGATAGAAGTGTTTTACCAGAGTTTATCAGGGCACATATGACTTAACTTAGTCTATAAGTAAACTTGAGTTGAACTAGCAGGTGGATAATTCTTCCTATTCTCGTTCATGTTCCATCTTAAAGTGTCATTGCTTTTATACCAATCCCAAATCTGCTACCTGTGATTGGTCCTGAGCTAGTGACATCAGGTTTTCTGTCTCTTCCTGTTGATCACTCAGTTGTTTCAAAGTTCAAAGTTAAACAGAGATTTTTGTTTTTTGAAAAAATTTTGATTCAAAGTTCAAAGTTAATCATACTTTTTTCAAAAAAAAATCTCTGTTTCTTTAGTCTTGTGCCTGCTTTGCAGTGTTTGCAACTCTGCATGTCTGCTAGTTAAATGTGCTTGTTGATTTGCTGCAAGACAGGTGCTCTGCTGCCTGACCTACAAAGTGCAAAGCAGGTAAGTGCCTGCCAAAACCCCTCTGGGTCTGATACCACTCCTTGTGGGCCCTCCAGCTGTTCGATCGCTGCATTTCACCCTTTTGTTTTAATCTTTTGAAAAAAGTACTTTGTCATTCTTTCTCCCTCCTCCCATTCCTTCACCCGTGCTCGCAACTGCAGTCCCCATGCCTTCCACCTCGCCCAGTCTCCCAACTCCGCCCTGGCCGCCTCCATTACCTTCTCATACAGCTCCACTCCTGGGTTACTGATTGGATTCCTCTCTGCTATACGTAGTGCTCGCTGTAGTTCTACCTCCCATGATGAGCATTTGGCCACTAACTGTCTGGCTACTGTTGCTGTCACTCCTGACAGAGCCTCAATTAAATCTGTAAATGCCTGTGTTGTTGGATTGTGTGCCAGGCACACTTGTAGCAAGGCCTGCCTCAGTTCTGGAGTTCTGAGCAACGAGTTATTCACCTTGTAAAAGCTTCTACCTCTTTGGATCTGTTTGTCAGTGGTGAGGTTGAGGAAGATAGGTTTGTGATCAAGAGAGGTGTAGTATGGCAGTTCCACTATCGTGGCCGAGTGTAGTGTTCCTATCAGCGCTTGTGATATTAGGAAGTAATCTATCCTGGAAGCAGCGATGTGCTGGCTGCGGTAGTTTTTGTAGAAGGTGAACTGTTTTTCGTCCGGTTGTTGCAGCCTATATGGGCGATGAGGTCCCACGATGTCATGAGATTATGGATGGGGAGGGCTTCATCCCCCACCATTCCTAACCCTAACCATCCCCCTGACATTCTATCTTCACGCGGTTCCAAGGTGGCAGTCCCCGGCTAGGATGAGGTGTCTCGCCGGTTCGATGTGGGCCTGTACCGCCTCAATCATGGTGGACCGGGGCTGTCCAGTGTTAGGACAATAAACTGAGAACAGCGAGAACTGCTCTTCTTGGTAAATAAAGTTGAGTTTCACCCATCGCCCTTCCCCCTCACCCGTCTTTACCCCCTGAATCACTATTTTGTTTGCCGCTTGAGACTGCTTATTCTGCAGGATTGCTATGCCCCGAAGCGGAATACTTATGGGCAGAGGCTCGAATGCTGTGGCTGCGCATTACGCCGGCTTCCTTCCCACAAGACAGGAGGACAATCCTGACGGTACACGTTATGGACTATCTGGAAACGGAGATGCCAACAGGCGATTGGGCAGATGCCGAAGTTAAGAGCAGAAACTAAGGCGCCACTCTACAACCTCATGGAAATGGATATCAGACTCATATAATCAGAGCCCAATGGCAGAAGACCAAAAGACATGCCCACTAAGTCCGGAACGGGCCAAGGACCTGTTGAAAAATTCCAGAAAAAGATTCTGGCCCAGGGCAAAGTAGCCACTATCGAAGGAGCTCCGCTGGTCTTTCATTGGTTTCGGGAGGGACAGCGGGAACTCCCCATGGGAGACCCGTCAAGTACCCCCCGTCTCAGTCTTCCATAGAAACGGGCTTGGGCGCTCCTACAGCAAGCAGAGGGCCTGCAAGGGAAAACCCAACACTTCCTGTTTCCCAGAGAAACCTCAGATTTTAAGGAAGGGTAATATCTAGGATACACAGGGGGGGCAGGGTTCTGGGTTCAAGGGGGGAACCAGGGAAGTAAGGGATAATTGATAACTAGCACTGCACCCCTGGCGAGTGCCTGTATTTTTCCGGTATTGTAGGCTGTTCCATCTTGCTCAGATAGAAGCCTGTTACTTTCCGTGTCCAGAACCTCTGAGTGTAAGGTGTAGTATCCAGGACACGGGTGGACAGGGTTTAGGGTTTAAACCGCAAGTACACGGCCCCAGCCTTGCAGAAAGTTTCTGTCGCCACAAGCAAAACTCCGAGGGGCCGCGCGGCGTGGGGCGTCGTTGAAAAAAAAAATCGGTGGCCTCCGAAGTGGTGCGGGTTTCGTGCTGACACCCGTGGGCCAATATGTGGTGTACTGGTGCTTTAAGGGGAGAAGTAGGGAAGTAAGGGATAGCCTGTTAATTAGCGTTACACTCCTGAGGACTACTCGTTTTTCAGCCTGCTTAGGCTTTCCCTTCTTTTCTAGGTAGAAATTTGATGCTCTCTTATTCCAGTTTTTCTTTCATAAGAATTATGCCCCATGGGACGCTGGACCCGGTTTCCGGCCAAGCCAAAGCCGGGTAATGACCCCGGTACACCAGGTTGTCATGTGGAGGGATTCCCGGCCTCCTTTTGCAATTGTTAATATACAAGCATAATTCTAAAAAAAATTTAAAAAAAAGGGAAAAAAAGGGGAATCACTCTGTAAATACCAAATACGAAATACTAAATGTTGGTGGTCCCACAACACATCCATCCTGTGGTTGGAAAACAGAAAATGAACCCGTAAGGCCCCCAAGTCCATGCAGCACCCATGTGACACTAGAAACATCACTAAAGTGAGGGCACCGTGATGCCCTCATTAACCATGTGCTATGAAACCTGCAGCCCAAGGGGATCTCACCTTATAGCACACACAATTTTTACGGCACATTTTTCGGTAGTAACATTCTCTCACCTTTTATAGCACACATAGTTTTTAACTTTTTACTGCACATTCGGTAGTAACATTCTCTCACCTTATAGCACACGTTTTTACGGCAGATTCGGTAGTAACATTCTCTCACCTTATAGCACACACAGTTTTTACTGCACATTTTTCGGTAGTAACATTTATGATTTCTCACCTTTTATAGCACACAATTTTTTTACTGCACATTCGGTAGTAACATTCTCGCACCTTATAGCACACAGTTTTTACTGCAGATTCGGTAGTAACATTCTCTCACCTTATACTAGGCTTATAGCACACATAGTTTTTACTACACATTCGATAGTAACATTCTTGATTCACTGAAAAAGGAAAGGAAAAGGCGCACGGATTCCACCAAAGCAGCAGTTGCTAAGCTGGGTGGAAAAAAAAAAGAAACTTGCTCACAGCGACATGGATCGCAGAAAGCACCAGGTTCACATACTTCAAATTCCCATAATCTTTCCATGGCACCTGGAACAAGCAGCAGTTTCCTGCGCCCTGCAGGATCAAGCCTTGACTTGTTAGCATCCTCGTTCAGCTCCTGTAGAAGCTGCTTTGCCCTAAGGATATAGAATCAAAAGAGTCAGTTATGTCGTCAGCAACTTATATCCAATCATTGGTGCAATTTCACACACCCACACACCCACACACACCCACACACATCCACACGCACACACACCCACACACACCCACACGCACACACACCCACACACACAGAAACACACAAATTGACACAATCATATATACATCTATAACTTCTTTCTTCCCTTTGCCCGCTTGGTGCGCACTCTGGCCTTTTCCCAGGTTCTTCTCGGTGTCGAAGTGCAGCACCTTTAAGATGTGCCAAATAGGCAGTGCCTGTTTGTTGGAGTAGCAGCAACACCGCTACTGTAGTGTTCGGGATGCCTGTGTATCTTTGTTCCCTGATTGTGACAGACAATTGTCTTGTGGCTCCCTTGCTCTTGATAGCGGTGGAGTTTACTGGATGCCGTGGACCAAAAGTGTATGCTGTGAGAAGTAAAGCCTCACAATTTCAAGTGTTCATCCCTTGCTTTTGAAGGTGGTGTGAACCCACAGTCTGTAAAGTTGTACTTGTGCTGTGAGCAGATGATGGTCTGTGTTGGTCAGTATCGTATCTGCGGACTGCTTTGAAGGCATTCCCAAATTTTCTTGGTAGAGGCAACTTTGTTGCACTTAGGATCGCCTGTATTAAGGGTCTTTGTTTTACGTGATTGGTATGATTCTCCTGTTAGCAAAGAAAATCATATGTAAAACACAGGCCATGTTGGCAGAGATCTCACAACGGCCTATGGAGTAATGGAAGTCTTGAAAGTTGACTTGCGTTTAACTAATTTGAGCGTTGGTGCTGCCCAGCTGCCTGGCTGCCCATCTGCTTGCCCTGTATTGCCTTGTGTTGCCTTGCTACCCGGCTGCTTGGTTGTGCTGCCTGGTTGTGCCTTGCCCTGTATTGTCGTGTTGGTCGACCTTCCGCTCACTCATGGCTATTACTTGTCATGCCAGCCCACATGCCCTCTACTTTTCTGCTACCCTGCTGCCTGGATGCCTGGCTGCCCATCCACTTTTGCCTTGTCGTGCCTTGCTACTTGCCCGTGTTTGCCTTTATGCCCACCCGACTACACCTGTCGACCCTATCACCTACCCCTGTCGGCCCAACTTTTGTGTTACTGCTGCCTGCCTTGCCTTGCTGCTTGTGCTGTCACCTGCCTGGCTGTCCACTTGTAACAGGTGTCCAACTACGATGACTCAAAGCATCAATATAGGGATGACTGTCGAAGGTTCGGCCTCTCGACGAGTTGATAAAAATCAACTGGAACAGTCCGTGCGTGGCGCGGATGATGAAGAATTTGCCAGCGAACAACATTGCCACTTTCTTCTCAAAAAAACAAGAAAAGAAAAAAAAAACTTTAAAAAGTGATCCTTGCCTTTTTCTTTCTACCAAAGGTCTGTTTTCTGGGTGGTTTCATTATTGTGCTATTTTGGACTTTGCCTTAGTGAGCACCGATTCTGGATGAGGTTTCCATGCTCTTGTGTAACACTGCTCATCATGTTGCACTACAATTGCAGCAGTCTATAACAGCCCAAACACACACGATCACATGCATTCAAGGTCTGTTTTCTGGGTGGTTTCATTACGGTGCTATTTTGGACCTTGCCTTAGAGCACAGTGCGCACCGATTCTGGAAAAGGTTTCCATGCTCTTGTGTAACACTGCTCAGCTGGTCACAGCATGTTGCACTACAAGTGCAGCAGTCTATAACAACCCAAACAAGCACGATCACATGCGTTGTATAACAAAGTAGCCCACAGGACATTCACTTGCCAAGAACACAGTGAACCTCTCTAACTACAATAAGAACATAGACACATGCATATTCATCAAAAAAAAAAAAAAAAAAAAAAAAAACATGGCATGGACTTGCTGGTGAAGGACTTGACTTACCCCTCCTCTTCTCCCTACCCACCTCCCCGTTCCTCAGAAAGGGGGTTGCATTCCCAAAAAAGAAAAAAAGTTGGAAAAATGAAAAGCAGTCTTCTCTAATAGTCGATATACGATATATATATACGATATATGTATATTCTCCATGATCTCGGTTCCAGGCAGGCTCTCCTGCTCCCCCTGCTCCACCCCCATATTGCCAGAGACATGCTCATCTCCAGTTTGTCACTGCAAAACATGACACAGAAAGAATCAGGTTTGAACTCCAGTTATTGCGTACCGCCAATGACATGGATCATATTATCGCTCATCCGGGGATCAGCAGCCTGTTTCTTTGTCAGCGCTGATTCTTTCTGTGGCATCTCCACATGCTGTTGTTGTTCCCGTGTGGAGCACGGCAATATCCACACCTCTGTCCACACGGCAATATCCACCCCTTTGTGCCCTGCAGGCAGTCCGCAAGACCATGATTCATCCTTTACAGCAGTGGAGATTCACGACTCACCTGCTGTGCAGGGTGCAGTCCCCACTCAGGATGCAGCCGCAGCAGGTGTCCCGGGATTGGAACATCATTTGGCTGACTTGCAAACTGCCCCACATGGCATAGACCACATGGATGAGAGAGAAAACATAGAGACATACGACCAAAGTCGCAAAGTCACAGCAAATATAGAGATGTAGACCACATGGATGATCTGCAAATGACCGCCCAGTCCCCAGCCCACGACCTTCTTCCGGCCTTGAAACATCATCTGGGTAACTTGCAAATTGTTGCCCACTGTCCGACACTCCAGCCCGTTCACGACAATAGGGATCATCTCTGTGATGCCGTTTCTCTAGTTTCATTCAGAACCTGCCCAATGCCCGTGGTCTGGCCGCTACTGATGCCTGTTTGTGTATCTTCCTCACGAGTCTTCCACGGCCCTTCAGCTTGATGTAGATCTTCCCTGCGTCGAGGCAGAAGGTACTAATGATGCCAGGGAAGGAGGCTTTACAATTGAGATCCTGCAAGCTGCAACACCGATTTCCCCAAAACCGGCTTTTTTTTTTTTTTTTTTGAACGAAATTGAAACCTACTTATTTGGCCGGTCCTTTTGGACTTGACTGAAGTTCAGGTACATCCAAGGGGAACCCTAAGGAGCTAAAACGGTGACATAGTCAGGGCCAAATAAGTGGGTTTCAATTCATTCAAAAAATAATAAAATATAAAATATCCGCTTTAATGAAATCGCTGTTCTGTAACGGCGAACCGCCAACTTGAACTTCGCCATGCTCAGGCTGGTGGGTAGTTTCATTCTCTGTCTGAACATCTCTGCTTGCATTGCACATGTACCTGGCCATTATATTGCCATTGTTCATACCACTGACCACTGGAAACCGTGGGACAATGACTCTTGCCACGATTGTTTTCCCGGACTCAGCAAACCGTCTGCACACTCTTTTATCTTGAGGATAACTTCTCTGTCCTCGTGCATCGCTACACCCTCAGCTGCAGGCGTCATTGTCGCCACCAGAATCACTACAGTGCCAAGGTTTCTGCAGCCATGTGTGCAGAGGGCTGCCCCCTCCATTCCTGATTGTGGTGAGTATGCTGACCCTCAACACGCAGGGACATCATATGTTCATAGCGCGGGTATGGGGTGGTATAGGGAGGGTATAGGGGGGTATAGGGGGGTATAGGGGGGTAGGCGACATRTAGGGGGKATTGGGGGGKGTATGAGGGTGTTGGGGGCGGTTTGTGGGTTTTGGGGGGCTGTATGGAGGTATTGGGGGCGGGTATGGGGGTATTAGTGGGGTTATATGGGGTTCTGGACTAGGCTGTGTCGGCAACCCGCCGGTTGGACAGGACCGGATCCAACCGGGCCGGTTGGAGCCCCGGTGGTCCAACCGGGAATTCCGGTTGGGCCTAAAAGTGGGTCACTTTTTTCTTTTTTTCCTTTGAAAACATGGTTGGACTGCGCTCGCCAAGATCTCCCCGAATCCGCAAAGAAAACTTGAACAGAGAAGTTTTGTATTTTGGGGCGGGAGGAGTTGGAGGGGGGAGAATTTCAAGGGTTGCGGATCGGGAGGCTGGGGGGTTGGGGGGTTATGGTGGTAGTGGTGTTAGTGGCGGGTTTCAGCAAGCACAGGCTTCGGCAGACATTGACAACAACATACCTGGCCTACTCTCTCTCTCTCTCTCTCTCTCTCTCTCTCTCTCTCTCTCTCTCTCTCTCTCTCTCTCTCTCCCCCCCCCCCACCGCGCCAGGAAATGTCGCGTGCCCACAATCTAGCGTGCGCGCCTCCTTACCAACGTAAGAAGATGGAGGAGGGGGGAGGAAGAAGAAGAAGAAGAAGAAGAAGAAGAAGAAGAAGAAGAAAACGTGGGGGCCGGGGAGGGGGGTGTAGGGCAGCGGGGGAACAGTTTCACGAACTGTTCTCCCTCTCTCTCTCTCTCTCTCTCTCTCTCTCTCTCTCTCTCTCTCTCTCTCCCCCCCCCCCCCCCCCCCCCCCCCCGCCACCCCGCCCCCCCCCCCACCCCCCCCCCCCCCCCCCCACTCTGCACCGGGAAATGTCGCGCGCCCACAAACTAGCGCGCGTGCCTCCGCAACGTAAGAAGAAGAAGAAGAAGAAGAAGAAGAAGAAGAAGAAGAAGAAGAAGAAGAAGAGGACGACATACATACCGGTGGCGTGCTGGCGGGGGAGCGGTTGAAGCACGGGCGACGGCCTCCTCGACGGGCGATGAGTCGATGATGGAGGCGATGGAGGCAACGAAGATGATGGAGGCAACAACGATGACGGCAACGTCGGGCCAGGGTTGTCGAGCCCCGGCCCAGGGGCCCCGGTGGGGGTGCGGGGGTCCGGGGGTGGGCACCCGACCCCGGCT